TAAATAAGTCGGACGCATTTTGAGATTTTTAATTTTTTTTCTGTAAACGGTAGTTAAAATGTGTAACTTCAATCTAGTCCAAAAAGAAAAAAAAAAACATTTTTTCGGCCTCTGAAGGTAGGAAGTAACCTTAACGTCCAGTGGTGTTTATCGGTCAAAGGGCCCTTTTACTTTGTTTTAAAACTACACGCAGTTATACTGTTTTAAGCTTGGTTTTAGTTGTTATCTTAGCGCTAAGACAATATGTTTTGACTGAGGCGCTTGTCTCAAGATCTCCTCCATTTAAAGACCAAAGTAGTTTCTCCCTCTAAGGAACGAGCGATGTATACAATTTTAATATTTCGCACCCCAAACAATGACGGCAAAACAATAACGGGCTACAAAGTATTCGGGGTGCAGTTTTGTTTGTAAGAAACATGTGCAAAACTCACAATTTCCATCGCCGAAAAAAGCAAGGGAAAGACAAGTCATTGGAAATGTTTTTAATTTCGTTGAAATCCAATTAAAGTGCCTTAGGAAACCAAGCTGATGCAAAATATCTTGGTTCCATTGATTTTAGTTGACTTACCTTCAATTTCTTTAACTAGTCGGGAGTCTAAATGCGGGATTGACGCAGATTACGGATAGACATATTCAATGATTGTACCGCGACCTTTTTTCCTAAAGGTGAATTCATAAGAAACTTCAAAAGGGAATGTTCAGGCTGGTTACTATTCTTTGTATTTAATCATTAAGATCAACAAGAAGAAATCATTTTACGACATTGTCAAGTTATTTTCACATAATAATGTATTCTTCAATAAAAGAATCATGATGAGGTACTTTTCTAATTGAGTAAATAATATAATTATTAACATATCGGTTGGTATTATGGTTAGAATCATTCGAATAGCAAGGGTTGCAAGGTATTCTGGACCTCAGGGCCCAAAAGGTAATGTTAGTGCTGTTGATCCACAAGGTAATACTGGACCTCAAGGAGCAAAAGGTAATTCTGGTGCACAAGACCCTTAGGTTGATATTGGATCGCAAGGACCACGAGGACCACGCGGTTTGAAAGGTGATATCATGGGGTGATACTGGTGCACGAGGACCTTAAGGAGATGCCGGCTCAGCGTTTAATGTCAGCTTAAACGTTGACATGAAGAACTGTAATATTAAAAATATGGTAAGTCCAACAAGTGGTAATGATATGTTGATGCAATTGCAAATGATATCTTAACAGATGTTGATACATTTCGAGGTGATGTCAATACGAGCAATAGTAAGATAGCCAGTCTGGTAACACCAACAAATGATACTGATTCAACGAATAAGACATATGTTGATACACAGTTTAACACATCGGTCAACTTTAAGATGGTTCTAATGCAATTACAGGTAGTTTGAATTTTGGCAACAATAAGATGATGTGATTACAACAACAAGAGGAACTGAAGCTGCTAATAAAACACATGTTGACACATATGTCAGTGAACACAATGGTTAAACTAGATGGTTCAAAAACAATCACTGGCGATCTTAACCACAGGTGTCCCAAG